ACCGTGTATGCCGCTTATAAAGAATCCCTCATAAAAGTGATTTACTGTAATAATTGAGTTAATTAATAATTTTTATATTAAGAAATAATTATTGTAAAAGAAATTTAGGATCATCTTTTATTTTGCTATTGTGTAACTTGATCGATAAAAATTTGTACTATTGTGAATGGTTGACAGAATTGTAAACAGCTGTTTGTTTGTTTACATTTGTTTCTTGAGTGTTTTATTTACATCATTTTTAAAATAATTGCTTTTATTATAAAATTTAAAAAGTGGACACAGTTGAAATATGGTTTAGTGATGAGGAAGATGATGCGGAAGCTAATAGATTAGTAGAGTTAGCTAAAGCAAGGAGGGAATTGCGAGATTCGTCGGATCCCTTGGACTTTGAAGGTGTATGTACACGTGTGAGTTTTATGAATAGAAGTTGCGTTCCCGATGCTTCAGTTTTTAGGCTTTACATGATTTGCAGGAAAAGCTGTTTTCCTCATTAATAAACTTTATGGAAGTTTAAGAAATACGGTACGGTTAAGTTTTTTGTACAATGATGTTGGGGTTTTGTGTCCAAACGCGTGACCCGAGTTTAAAAATTTTAACATAACAACATAACAAGTGTATTGAAAGAATTCAACTTTAATTTAAAATAAAGATTTCAAATTTCAGAGCACTAGTCAATTAATAAATTATGCAGTTTTTTTGTATAAACTTTTGATGTTGGTTCTGCGCAAAAACACTGTGGATGGCGTAGCCGGAGTTATATGCACAAGAAATATTGTATATGTATCTTTTCCAATAGAAGCGGAGCTTCCTACCCTACTCTTTCCGGAAATTCCTTTGCCTATGTCTTCACTCTCCTGCAATCAGTACGAACAACCGCGCAAGTTGCCTTTTGTTGCTTATAATTTTTGATCTGTAATTCAGACACATACATGCATATGTATATTTCACAATTTTTTACAACTTCCAGTTCAATTGACTTACTTTTTATCCATTATAATACCACTTTCTTATGTAAATTTTATAAACGCAAACTCCAACGACTAAAAAACAGCAATAGAAGAATGAGCGATTAAAAAGTATTCACAGTCGCTAATTGAGCGACTAAGCGACACTCGCAATAGCATCGCTAATCGATAATCGCTTAATAGTCGTTTATCTACTGCCAGTCGACATTCGCAATAGGGGTGTTAATTTTGTGGCACTTTCATATTCTTTTCGGCACAATTTTTTAAACCATTAGGCACATTTTGAAATTCCATCCCTGCTTGTACCTCACACGAATCATGCATGCATGTACGTACATACACACGCAACACACTTCAGTATCGATAAGAAAAACAGTTTCGTTACCGCACAATAAGGGTATTCATCAAACCTTATAAATGCATTGTAAACCATATAAACTTATAATTGTGTAAACCTTATAAATGAACTGTCAAAATTTGTATGGAGACTCGTTTACACATTTCTGATAAATTTCTCCAGCGATTTCACTTAATAAACTTGATAAACTGAAGCCAATGCAACTCTGTCGCAACTCTAGCTATGTTTTCTTGGGCAATAATCGGGATCCGCATACAAATTTTGCACGCAAATTCAACAACAACGATATGATCCTGATAGAGATCTGGTTCAATTATTATCCGTTCTGTTTGTTTTGTTTCACTGATAATTTGGCCGCAAAGTTTGGTAGCCGTGACAAATGAATTCAAACACAAACAGATATTCTGCCATTGTTTCTTCTAACTTTCTTCAAATAAATAGCCTTTATGTTATATGTATATTTATTTAAACAGATATTATCTCGTAAATATAATTTTTTCAAATTTAGTGAGTTAGTTTTTAAAATTTCTTTATCCTCGTACTAGTAGTATAAAGTTAGTGATACTGAGCTCTATAACCAAAGAAAACACGACTATTGTCGCATGTGTAAACGAAAAGATAGTGTGGGTCGTTCATGTAACAGAGTGCGTAAACTTGTAAGATTATCTGCTTGATAAAGTTATCGGTTTAGATGAATATCACTAATATGTTGTGTTGTATTGATTGATATACGGAACATGCGAGTAACGAGATTATTATGTGAGTAACGATTCGGTACTACAAGCACTTGTTACCCCGTTTATACGTTGCTTGAAAACGGTTTCAACGCATGCGTTTTATTTGAAACCACATTTATAAACAGAGTTTTAATGCGCATTCGAAAAATTTATCGTATTCTCTCGAAACGACTTTTCAAAGCGTTGTGAAAACAAGAAAGCGGTTTGAAAAAGTGCACAAACACTTCTTGTCTAGTTTAATTCGCTTCAGTAAAAGAAAACAGCTGTTTCTATCATTACATAGTGGAGCCAGGTGCTAAAAATTACTTTTTATTTTTTGATATTGTACAGTACATATATAACGTAAATACTATAAGGAAACATTTCATATGCTTACTCTAATTTATATTACGCATATATTGTACACAGTTTATTTACTTTGAGATACGTTATAATATATATACGGTAGTTATTATCAAATCACGGTATGTTCTGTTTCGATAATTTCATTATTACGCTAAATGCCACCGGTCATCGTATCAAATGTCATGTAATGCGTAATGACATTACACTGAGGGGAAAAAATATTAAAATCAAATAGAAACGTAATTGATCTTACTATAAACGTCAACGAAAGTACTGTATATTGGTAAATAATCAATTCAATTACGCGCATATTAAAATGACCGCGTTCGGTCTGAAAAAGCATCCGTTAAGCGAATAATCAAGATAAGAACCAAAAAAATATATATTTAATTTGCATTTTACCTGCAGTGGAATTCGAAGCCTGACCCTCTCTGGATATCAACAAATTCTGGCAAGCATCTTTACGCACTCAGCTACAGCCATACATATATGTAAATGTGCTTTCAAATGTTGAATTTCCATCAACCCCACAGCACGCGATTTGTACGGATAAACACCCTGTAGGATATTGAAATAGACTTAAAGCAACCACAAACTAGACTGCAGGTGATTGTAAGTAGTCCAAAGTTTGGTACAAGCACATGTAAAATTCTATTTACATTTAACATTGAATGTCCTAGGCTCCGACCAATTGCCCGCTTCTGCATTACATTGTAACCAATTTTAGATAAAAAAAATAAAATAAAACTTGGGCCAGCTGCGATTCGAACCGGGGTTCTCAGATTTTCTGAGCGGATACTCTCTCTGCATGCCAACGCCGCACATGAAAACTCGGTGACTAAGTGCCTATATATCAGTAAATCGTTAATTGTACCCCTTGTCCGCTACTGCATGACATTGTAACCAATTCTAGATCAAAACTCATACCTTATGCATTACATTCGGACCACTTTTAGTACAATTCACCTGTTTTACATTACACTTAAATTTTAGGACTATCTTTGGTCTAGATACAAAACTGCTATACCAACAACTATATTTTTCGAGCAATTGGATCAATCTTTCCTTCAGGGCATGTACTATGTATGTATGTGTGTGTTGTCACCGCTCTGCATGCTGGGGATGCGTATGTACACTTATATATACATACTCAGATGTGAACAGTCAAATACGTGCGTAATACATTTTTGTATGAAAATATTATTTTTAAATACGAACATTTTTAAACGATAATCAAATATAAAGTATTCATTTTTACTATGCATTATGCATTATGCATTATTTCCCTCAGTGTTGTTGATTTTTTTTGTAATTTCATTTCATTTTTATACATTAAAGCTTGAATGACGAATCGAAGATAACTTTTGAAAAAAATAGTGCTTATTGTGAGGCTCCTGGCAACACTAGTTTGTGAACTTCACTATTTAGAAACAGCTGGTAGCAGTATTCGGACTTCCCTGCGGTTGGAGTAGATCCACTCCGTTTTTTAACGTTATTAAAATTTACTCCTCTATTCTGCTTGTCTGAATACCTGCTCCCTCTTTTAACTGACGGTAACCCACTATTTAATAATCTTTTTTTAATACTATTTAATAATATATAATATTATATGGTTATCCATTGAACGCGTAAGTTCATCGTAACCACGTAAATCTCGTAAATAAACTATTTTCCATACAAAATTAAGGAAGCTTACGAGCTTTACATGGTTACGACGCATTTACGTGTTTAGATGAATTGCCCTAATAGGTATTTAATAATAGTGGTAAAGTCGCAATTGTATATGTGTACATTTTTTTAAATGACGATTATTTAAAATTTGTTTCAAAAATGGTTATAGTATGTACGTCGCATTAAATTATAGTATTTACGTCGTTTAAATTGATATAAACCCTTTTCAAATCGGTTGAGTAGTTTCCGAGATATTAAAAATATAACAAAATAGAAAAGTTTAACCTTATACTCTTTTATTTGCTTTGTTCGCGCCAAATAATATTGGTATGGTTGAAATCAGAGTAAAAAGTTATATCGATCCGCATTTTTGGTTTTCTTATAGCTAAACGGTTGGTATTCTAGACTTGTTCCAATATCATTTTACAAAAGGTCTCATATTTACGTTTTATTTTATACCTATATATTATTTCCGTAGTAGAGTTGGATTTTTAATTTACGCATCAAACATTGTAAGTTTTACATGAACAATCATGAAAAAACGCACGAGGGGCATTCACCTTAATAAGGAAAAAGCTTGGAGAAACCTCTCATGGAAACTTTATCTGAGTTGTGTGAAATCACTTAGATGTATGAATTTTATGTTACATAATTAGGTAGATATATACCTATGAATATTTACCTAAATATGTAACATAATATTCATACATCTAAGTGATTTTACACAACTCAGATAAAGTTTCCATGAAAGGTTTCTCAAAGATTTTTCCTTATTATTTTTTCATTATTGTTCATGTAAAACTTACAATGTTTGATTCGTAAATTAAAAATCCAACTCTACTACGGAAATTTTGTTTTGCTCTGATTTTTCGAATTACATACATATGTGCTACTGAATCGAGCTTGAGCCTTTAAGTTAATTTGCAACTCAAAAAATTCTGACAAAGTCGTTAGAAGTTTAATTAATAAAAAACATTTCCGATGTCTATTATCAAAAAGAGGGATATTTGGAGTGACAGGGAAGTGCAGCAAATGTTGTCTATCATAAGAGAAAACCACATTCTCAAACTTATGGATAGTAAAGCAAAACGAAACAAAAGCATTTTTGAGGATGTGGCCACAGAAATGGCAGCAAAAGGCATTCAAAAAAGGTCAACGCAAATTCGAACCAAATTTAAAGCATTAAAATTGGACTACTACAAAGTTAAACGAAATAACAATAAAAGTGGTGCTAAGCGTCAAACGAGTGAGCATTTCACTTTGTTGGACGAAATTCTCGGACATCGTCCGGCAAGACATCAACTGGCTTAGACACTTCGTTGGCAGAATTTTTATCTGATGAAGACACGCAACCAGAAATGCAAGGTGGTGAGAATGTAGCACCAAATGTCTTGGAAGACGGAGCCACCAAACCTTTCGGTCGGACTTTTAAGCGTACAAGTATGTAAAGGCATGTAGAAGACAGTTTATGTGCACATTATTGCTTGACATTTGTTTGACTTTTGTTTTAGAAAAACTTAGCTACCAAAAGGCGGTTGAAAATTTTTGGAAAACCTCACAAAACGACTTATTGGATTATATGAAGACCCAAGATGAGACGTTTTTGTATAATCAAGAGGAGATTCTCAAAAAGAACCGCGAAGAGACCCAAAAAATCATGGAAAAAGATCGTGAAGAAACCAACAAAATGTTGAGCGCCTTTTTAGAGGCAACGAAAACACCGCAGCCTATTATGTCAGTTTACTGTCACCCATCGCAGAGCACAAACCCATCACAACCCTCAACGTTTTTCTTCAGCCCCTTTAAACCTAAAAACAACAATCGGGATGTGGAATAATTACCCGTTTCTTAAGGTCTGATTATGCATACTTCGCATAACTTCGCACAACCATTTGTGCCAGTGCAATAAAAATGTAACTTAAGAAAATGCTCAGCAAAATTTAAACTCAGCAGACCGCTAAGTTTTTAAAAGTTCTGCTAATTTCTGGGTAATGCAACACATTCAAAGTACATACGAAATTACAGTTTGAAGTTTATGCGAAGTTGTGCGAAGTATGCACAATCAGACACTTAGAAAGCTATGAACTTGGTATCTTTTTATTTCTTTAACTATATTATTCAAGCATTGGAGCTTGTTTAAATTCGTTTATTTCAGTTCATTGTCAAAATCACTGTACACGGACACATACATATGGCATTACCAAAATATAAAACATGTACATGTGCATATGTATGTGTCCGTGTACAGTGATTTTAACAATACAAACAATGTTTTTTTTGGTAAATCCTTTTCGTTAATTTTGTATGAGAGTATTCATAGTTCAATCTATAACCAAAACAATTAGGTGGTTCACAAGGTGTCGTAAGTGTCGTATTGTCGTATACCGTAAAGTTTTTAACGGCTAAATAAATGTCTAGAGTTCTGTATTAAATATGTGGTTTTCTCAAGGGATATGTTCTTGCTAAATAGTTCATCAAATTGTTTCGCACACATTTTGGGTCAATATTGCCCTCAGAAATTATTTCGAATGAATATTGATCACGCGGCTGCTGAAATTCGACATCATTTTCAACATTTTGAGCCCAGGAATCCAAGAAAATTTCTTTTTGTTGTTCAGCGAAGTTGTGCAAAATTGCACACAACCGAAGGTACAAAACTGGGATCAACATCAATGCGTTTCGATAAGCACCTCCATCTACCCTTAAGCCTTCTACAACAATGCGTCCTGAACTTAAATTACAATTAAAAGATTCCTCCTCAGGGCTTAAATTTCCAGTAAAAGGTATAAAACCATGGTAGTAGTGCATATGTGGGGTCTCCAACTAACATGAGCGGAATTTCTATGCCTTCAATTGTGGTGGAGTATTGAGGAATTAGTTGTGCGGAGTTTCTGAAAAGACCGGACAGTCGCGTCAGGTGCACTTCCAGGAAGTTTGACACTAATATCCCGGAACCTGGAAAAGCGGAAAGTTATTTGAATCCTTTGTTAAAACCGTTAACCTTACATGTATTTATGATCCACAACAGCTTGCATCACCTTAGATGGCCAACCCTTTCTGTTTACGTAGTCTAAATAGCCTGCACTGGGTGGTAAAACTGNCAGTCATGTGCACTTCCAGGAAGTTTGACACTAATATCCCGGAACCTGGAAAAACGGAAAGTTATTTGGATCCTTTGTTAAAACCGTTAACCTTACATGTATTTATGATCCACAACAGCTTGCATCACCTTAGATGGCCAACCCTTTCTGTTTACGTAGTCTAAATAGCCTGCACTGGGTGGTAAAACTGGAATATGTGTACCTACGATGTAAAAGTTGGGGGTTTCTTTTATTAACCATTGCTTTGTCGCAACTATTTGCTTGACTTGTGTTGAAAACTATTCTATAGTATGTTTANAGAATATGTGTACCTACGATGTAAAAGTTGGGGGTTTCTTTTATTAACCATTGCTTTTTCGCAACTATTTGCTTGACTTGTGTTGAAAACTATTCTATAGTATGTTTACATGAGTACACATAATAGTTATATTTGCATATTTATAACAATTAAACATACAACATACCGTCAATCGCTCCGATTATATTTGGAATTTTACATATTTTTTGGAATCCTCTTGCTATCATTACCGCTTCGTCCAATTGTGGAAATTTTATAAAATCGAGTTGCAGCCGTAGTATGGCTTCTACGACAATATGAAAATACTTGTGGACTGTACTCTTATGAACCCCAAATACGTCTCCAACAACTCTATATTCAGAGCAAGAAGCTAATTTGTATAAACAAATTGCAACCTGCACTTCTGTTGGCAAAGGAGCTGTTACACTTATTTCAGATGATTGAAGATGTGGCCTTAGTTTTTCGCACAAAACAAGGAACGATGCGGACCGCATTCGGAAGGACTCAAAGTAAAGATGTTCGTTACCTGGCTGTTTTAGGGTCCACCAGTAGCTTTCAACGGCGCGTGGGCGACCTCACAGGAATTATGCACGCAACACACTTTAGTATCGATACGAAAAACAGTTTCGTTACCGCGCAATATGTTGTGTTGTATTGATCAGCGTTGCCACTTGAGAATATTTTAAGGTACCAAAAAGCCTACCAAATCAGTTTGCA